ATGATTGGACAGCACGCCTATACACAATGCCAGGCAACAGGCAACAGGAACAGGGAATAGAATTTCTGGCGCGTTGAATTCGTCGGAAATTTTCTTCCAACGAATCCAACGCGTTAGAAATTCTATTCCCCGTTCCTGTTGCCTGTTGCCTGGCATTGTGTGATGGGCTTTAAGCCTATCACACAATAGGAAAGCACAGGCAATAGGAATAGGGAATAGAAATAGGGAATAGAAATCTATGTAATGCCAAGACACAATGATTCGTTGGCAATAGGCGTGCTGTCCAATCATCTGCATTTTAAAACCACGTGTCTGTCCCAGTCTCCACTGTGATTGGTCAGGTAGGTCAGGCACAGGGAATAGGGAACAGAAATCCAACGCGTTGGATATTCTGTTCCTATTGCCTATTCCATATTCCATTGTGCGTCGATGCACGGTTTCTGGTAAGTTGGAATTTAGTTATTTCTGTTGCCTGTGTTATTCCCTATTCCTATTCCCTGTGCTTTCCCATTGTGTGATAGGCTTTACTCATCCTATAATAAATATAAGTATGGCGATCGGTCTATTAGCCTGCGGTACCAGCGATACGAGATGGATGAATATTTGAGAGAAAGAGCGAAGAGTCGAGTTTACAAAGTGCCAATAAAATAACGAGAATAAGCGAAACAATTTGAATCGAGTCTTGCGGGCAATTTGCTTACCGACACGGTGTTGGTAAAAACGTATGTCGATTACGTAATGCGTACCGTCACCGCTAGAGCGCGCCACTTGGACGCACGTCGCGCCTCGAATGCCATCGGCTCGGGTCGCGTTATTTACTCTAAATAAAGAAAGATATATCAGATATGTTATTTTTCTCCCGGGTATGACACAGTTTCGCACATTCATTTCGGTTCGGCGTATTCGCTTGCGATAAGAAGCAGGCTCGTGCGGCCAACGGAAGCTTGGCGAAAGTCAAAGCTCATCCTTTCGTTAAAAAACAAATTTATTAGAGATAAACAGATGCGCGTCCAAGTATCTCGCTGGTCGGCGATTAATATCAAGTTTCTCTAAACCTGTTTCTGCAGTTTCACATAATTTTTCTGCCTCCGTTTTTAAATCGCTATGCAATGAATTTTTTCGACCCGTTGTCGCGACGTGACAACATAATATCAATTCCGATAGATTACTAATAGTTCTGTATAATTTAAATAATTAAATATTCCAGTCCTGATTGTGCGCTCCGTTCAGAAAAGGAATGTGCCGAACGCCAAGCGATGAGATCTTGGCAGGAAACTGATCGTTGACTGTTGATATTGAAACAGGTTGCAGAGAGGGGGAAGAGGAATCTGTTTGTAAATACAGGGGACGAGGTTCTGATACCAATAACCAATATCGTACTATGTGCTCCGTCGTATCCGAGCTCTATGGCACACGTTGTTCTGCGAATTCGATAAAGAAAAAGCGTAACGAGGCAAACTGCACGGCCATTCGCGACTGGCAGAGAAAACAAAGGCTAACAATTCAATCGAATTCAACCGAGATCGAATTGCTCGCGGCGTAATTTCCGATTGTACGATGCGTCGTCCCTAATCTAATTTGTTCAAAAATAATTATTCCGTCCGCGTTAACGAAACGCCGTCACTCAATAAGTCAATCATTCAATTAATCCTACATTTCTCACCAATGCAGGTCAATCTCGGTTTAACTTAATTGCTAGAGCTAGAAAAAGATGAAAGTCATGCCGAAATTAATAAGTAGAAGTGGGACGCGGGTCAGTTGAAGTCGATCGAAGTTGTTGCAACTTTTCCAATCGTTGCGTGAGAAAAACGGACTCGCGCCAAATCGACCGGTCTGATCGCCGACGCTTGAAACAGACGAAATAATTTCATCATTACTGCGTTAATGCTGTTCACCCCGAATGGCCACCACCGAGGGTGTTTTGCGTCTGCGATTATCGTGCGCGGCCTATCGTTTCGTCTCCATTTGTTAGTGTCCGCCGCTGACACGGTGCCCGGGCTCGAGCGTGAGAGTCGAGAATCGAGGACGAAGGCGTCGTTTGAAAATAGGGAAAAGTAACGGGGCGAGTAACGGGTTGGACGTTTAATGCATCCTGTCGTGGTCGGCTCCGAAGGCACTTTATGATAGATCGTCTCTGCGTGGCTCGAGCAACGGCGAGCTGTCTAATAATCGTGCCGAATCGAACGTTGAACGTTCGTCGGCGTCCAAAATCTTCGCTCGGGACGTACACACGGTGTCCACAAAGCGTCGCGCGCTCCGCAGCTCGTATTTACGATCGGCAATAAGGCACCTGGGTGTTTGGCTGATGGCAGAGAACGATTCGTGAGCGCTTAACAGTCTTAGGGCCCAAAGAAAGATTGCCGTAACCGTTTACGATTCTGTCGGAAGTCAACGCACGAAGAATTGCCCTAGACGTATGTCGCCTTGCGATGAGAGGAATGCGACATACGTCTACGGCAATTCTTCGTGCGTTGACTTCCGACAGAATCGTAAACGGTCACGACAATCTTTCTGCTAAAGCCCTGCTGAAGCCCGTATCAGGCTACGGATTGAGATTGAGATTAGATTGAAATTTGACCAATCAGAGTGGAGTTTACTAATCTCAAGTTTAGTGACTTTTACTCTAATTGGTCAGATTTCAATCTAGTCTCAATCCGTAGCCTGATACGGGCTTTAGACCGGGTTCACAATAGGTGTAGTAAGCCTTAAGCCGTAAGAAATTGATCAATCACAAGCGATTATTCTCCTCAATTCGGACTGTGATTGGTCAATTTTTTACGGATTAAGGTTTACTGTTGTAGATCCGGTTTTGAGCGTCTACGGATCTGCCATCGTCCTACCGAGTGTGGGACGGGCAATTATTCAACCCGCGAATGCGTCAGGCGCGCTCGTTGCTCACGAGGATAAATATTCTAAGTCGCGCGCGTGTAAAAATTCACGAGCGACCAAAAGAAAAGCGCTGCGTCGAAGGACACGATTACGGCGACCGCGATATTACGCGGTTTTTTTTTCGCGAAGAGCCGATCCGCGATAATACCGCGGCTACGCAAACGCGTCGCGGAGTTTCGTCACGCCGTGAGCGACGTAAGACGATGATGCGCATTGTTTCTCGGGTTATACGTTTATCAATTCGCGTGACGCGACGCGTCTTCTCGGAAGACTCGCCGCGCGACACTCCGAATCCGAGAGGAGGAGAAATCGCGACGCTTCCAGGATCGACGATGCGGATTCGGGGAAAGACCCGCGATCGCTCGACGCAAACGGCTTTTCCTTCGTCCGCGCGAACAGCCTATTTACAGCTGGCGGGTAAAACGCTTCCGTAAGCTGCGTCGCCGAGCCGTTACGCGATCGCGGTAACGAGGTGACGTAATTGCGAGGACGTGAAATAGGTATCGAGAATACAAGATGAGGCGGTTAATCGTCACGCTGAGAAAATGCTCTCCGTGAGAGCGATCGGATCCCAATTTGAAAACTACACAGTTTTACGGACACACGATTGCAAGTGTAAAGGGACATTACGAGAGAAAAACGTGCTCGCTTTTGTAGCAAGCCAAGATTGACCGGTTTCGATTTCGGAACTGCACACTGAAAATAAGCTGAACAATGTTTATCGCGTGCGTAAATATATTTTCAGCGTAATCGCAAGAATCGCCGGCCGTGCACGCGACGGCGCTCGCTCTGGGAAAACAAAGATCGTCCCGAATCGGGTCGTCGATCGTCTTCGTCTCCGATCGGTGGCCCCTGCCTTCCGGCGAGGGACAATACGCGGCCGGCGTCTAGCGGTTCGCTTGATCCAGAAGTACCGTTAAGAGAAAATCGAATAAATCTATTAACGACTCGATCAGTCCCGGCTAAAATTCAATAATCTCAACCGCTCTCGGCTCGTAAATCCCTAGTACTCGGCACAATATATCGGCGCAATATTTGTAAATAATATAAAGGCGGTGGTATATACGATACTATTTTTTTTACTGGACCGTTTACGAAAACCAATCGGGATTTAAGCCAACGGTACAAGATACTATTTTTCCCACCAGACTACTTACGAGAGCCAATCAGGATTCAACCTTCTGAGTCATCCGATCTAAAAACGCTCATCCTTATTGGCTCTCGCAAGCAATTTCCAGGAGGAAAAATAGTGTCGTGCGCCTGGTTGGCTTTAAATCTAACGTTCCCAACGTTGGTCCAATATCGTAAGATGGACGCCTCCTCCTGTTTAGTCAACATGTCTATTCGGCGATATTGATCCACTATTGTAGAGGAGAGTCCTCTCTTACGAGATTCTAATACGAGGTTTTCAACGTCGAAATTCAATCACAAATCTTTCGCAACGATTACAACGATCTAACGATCAATTTTCAACCAGACAGATTTCACTCCAAGGGCAATAAATTCATGGTGGAACCAACAGATGACTCGTATTAGGAGCCTAACTCATAATAGGGGACTTTCCTATTTTAGACCGACGTGCATATTACACTGCTAAATATTGGCAGCACATGCATTTATTTCACGGGAAACGTCGGCCAATGCGTTTCCCATATGACCAGTATCGGTCTTAATGTTTATTTTGCCTATGCATCGTGCCATTGGGAAAACGACACGCGGCCTCGCCGCGCGCTGAACTTGGCGCGAGAACACGACCGTGTCTCTTGATCGGGCGCGTTTTTATCACGGGAGGAGGCCAGTTTTAGATCGGGTTTGCTTATGCACGATATAACACCGCTTCGCCGGTCCCGCGAGCGTCGCGTCGCGACGCTCGCTCGCTCGCTCGCGAGAGGGGGAGCGGACGGGCGGGTGACGCAGGTGGGAGGGGACTGCGCGCGCGAACGAGCTTCGGAAGCGCGCGGTTCCGCGAAGCGGTATATACCCGGTCGCGCGATGACTCGCCACGGCAAACACGCGCCAGGCTGTTCCGCGGGAGGAGAGAAGAGCGTCGCCGTCGCCGCGCGTCGCCGTCGCTGCTTATTACACGACCGGAGTCCGTGCGCGCACCATCGTCGTCGTCCTCGCCCGCTGTAGACCGCTTACGTAAGACGCCGCGGGAGACTCGGGGAGAAAAAAAGAGAGAGACGACGACGGGTGAGAGAGAGCTGGCCGAGATTGTCGGCGCGAAGTGCGCGAGAATACACCCGCGAGAGCGACGCAGCAATTGCGACGAGATTCGGAAGGGTCGAATGCCGGCGCCCGGCGAGGGACCGCGAGGCCGTTGCACGGCGACTGACGGCAGTCCTATGTCAGCGCGACACCGCCACGGAACAGCGTGGGCCCCGCCGATGCGCGTGCACGCGCGGATAACCGAGTCGTCGTCGTCGTCGTCGTCGTCGTCGTCATCGTCGGCGCCGAGCGAGAGTGACGGCCGTCGCGCCGACGAGCGGACCCCAACGGCGGAGGATACGATCGCGCGCGCTTAAACCCGCCGCGCGGACGACCACCCCTAAGAGCGATGTACGTATCGAATCTTGTATCGTGCGCGCCGTGCCGCTGCGTGGCAGTGCGAGCGGCTTCGAAATTTCCCGCGCGACGCTGAGCGTTTACGAGGCGGCGCGAACGGGAAGCTAGACGCGACGTGAGTCGAGACAGGTGAACGAGGGGGGACAGAGAGAGAGAGAGAGAGAGAGAGAGAGAGAGAGAGAGAGAGAGAGAGAGAAGAGAGAGAGAGAGAGAAAGAACGTCGCTGCGCGATCATATATTATATATTACATTCGTCTCTATCTTCCGTGACTCGAGCCACGGGACGCGACGAAGGAGTTCACGAATCACGCGGGACTATCGCTCGGCGACTTGGCGATCTACGAAGCGTATGCACCGCGGCCGGCCCGCTCCCGCCCAAGTGGCCTTTCGGAACGCTCTAGTTTTGTCGTGCCGGGTGCACGCTTTTGCATGCGCACACGCCGCGTGTGTTGTTGATCGTCGCCGTACACGAGGACTGCGTGCCGTTCGAACGTCGGACCGTCTCCTACCGCCGTACTGACGAGGCACGCACACGCGCCCATTTTCCCGGTTTCGCTCGGTCGCGTGGTACTGCGCAGTCCCCTCTCCCCTCGGGGGATCCCTCGCTTCTCTCGTACCCGGCACGTGAGATAGCGTGCGCGCGCGCGCGTCCTACGTGCGTACATAACCCGCGTGTGCCGAGGGTGCGTGCCGTTTGTATGTCACGGCGTGTGCGGTGCTCGCGACAAGTGCCGGTTAAGCGTCCCATTCGGCGCGGGACTGAAGATGGAGAACACGACGTGCCCGGCGAATATGCTGGGAGGCGCGAGCGTGACGGTACCGCTGCTCTTCGCGCTGGTCATCGGCGGGGTCGGCTGCGTGGTCTACTACGCCCTGAGCCGGCGATCGCGTTCTCTCCAGGACTCGCAGAAACGTAAGCATCTCTCAGTATCGTCAATTCCCCCTCACCCCCCCACCTCACCCCCGTTCTTAACCCTCGTGCTTGCGAGAAGAGGCCGCTACACTCGTGCGTTCGCCGCGTACGCCCGTGGGAAATCTGCAGTTCCAAAACTGGCCAATGACAGGTGTCTTCCTTTCAGGAGTGGCGGTGGTTCGCCGGCTTCTTGATATTAGGCTTGTTTTCTGTTGCTGCACCGAACTAGCGCGATAAATTGGAGCAAGACAAGTATATATTTCTCATTCCGGCCTACTGCACACAGTTCGCCGGTGCAGCAATGAAAAACGAGCCTGTTACGGGTACTTTTCAGTAAGAAAAACAGACCGACACAGCGTAATTGATTGACAGAGAATCATTTTATCCTCGTTTGATAGTGGCAAGCAACAAAGATAAAACGATGCGCTGCGTTACGCAGTGTACGTTGTTGGAGTGCTTCTGTACTTTTGCACCTTTCTTTCACACGTGCTCCGCTTGGGACGTTGAGTGAATAGCACGTCTAACCTAGAAGAGAAATTTTTGATCTTCGGGGTTGCATCATCCCGCGCGAGGCCCGATAGTTGGGTCTCTGCACAGTATCAACAAATTAAAACTTGCCCATACATTACGACTATTGGGTTAGACGTGGCCGTATTGGACCCAGGAGCCAACAAATTTACCAATTTTGCACCTTTCTAATCTAGAAACTGTCAGTTCACGGAAACATTTGTGTATATTACACAAATGTTGTTCTTCAATTTAGCCGGAATAGCAAGCTGCTTTCGATCTGTACACGTAAGCCGTTTAATTTGTGTATCACAAATGTTTCCATAAAACGGACAAGTTTTAAGTGCAAAAGTGCAGAATCACTCCAGCAGTCGACCACTTGGCCACTAGAGGTCTGTTCTTTATTGCTGCACTCCTGAACTAGTGCACACTGGTGCAATGAGTTGGAATGAGAGGTAATCTATTTGCTTCATTTTAACTTATTGCGCTAGTTCTGTGCAGTGCAATAATAAAGAACAGGCCTTTGGAGTAAAAGTTACCAATCTCAAGTTTAGTAACTTTTATTCTAATTGGTCAGTTTTCAGTCTAGTCTCAATCTCAGTCCGTAGTTCGAGAGCGAAGCCCTAGCGCTGAATTTTTCGTTAAAATCTCAGCGGCGATCGAAGAAGCGTTAGAGAAAACGGCGCGTTTCTTCGTCTCATCGTTAAAGAAATTGAGAAGAGAAAAAAGAAACGGGATATCTTTCGTCACGCTCGGACGGCGCCCGGCGCCGTCGTCGCCGCCGCGAAAACGATAAAGTTCTCCCGATAAAGTCCTCTCGCGTGATCGAACGGACCGGGGACGCATCGCTGGCTCGCATCCGCGGGGTTCCCGTTAGTCCCCGCGATTCAGTGCGTGTCCCGTTTATCTCTTTATCTCCGGTCTTTTCCTTTTCTTTTTTTCACCTTGTAAAAATGAGAGCCGCGGTAGTTTGTAAAAGCGCGCCTATCCGCGAGACCCTCGCGTCTCGACGGACACGCGCGATCGCGCGTTTCCGTTAGACGCCGGTACCGTTAGCGCGCGCGTGAAAATTCTCCGTGAAAGTCCTCCGCGCGTGACGACTGCAGCACGTACGCGCGGAGGATGTTTCGAGAGCCGCGTTACCTCGCGGACGGGGGTTGCCGTTCCACGTGCATGACGTCACCAGCCAGCTTGCTAATGTCACCAGGCATTTTTAATGGCATTTATGTTAGACGCGACGTTGTATTCGCACGCCGCGTTTTGAAAACTGGAATTCAAATTTAAAGGCTCGTATTCTCAGGGTTGGGAGGTAAAGCCTCCCTTCACTCTAGGCGGGCGTCTCAGCAATAATATGCCTCGGTGGTCGAATGGCTTGAGATGCCCGCCTAGAGCGAAGGGGAGGTCCAGGTTCAAACCCTGGCTGAGGTAATATTTTTCGCAAGAAATTTTACGTGTTGAAAAACACATTGCCAGTTATGGTCGAGTATAAGCTTAATCAATATTAATTAACATGAACAACTTTTGTCCGAAACATGTTTTGACTTGCCTGATACTTTTTGCAATATATTCGCGAGAAAATTGATATACACTTAGGCCTCGCGTCAGGCAAGGGGAAGCCAAGTCAGGCAGTGAATTTTCGCGACCTTGTTTTATTCATGCAAGAGTCCGTCTCTTTATTCATGGAGAACTTCGCCGGTCGTTTACTGACCCCTGCCCTTGAACGTTGCGCATCAAACGACATGCGTCATTCATCGTTACGTTTCATTTCTATTTGTTTCTTATTTTGCTATATCGCGGCTGCGTTACGCGCGAATGATGCTCGCAAAACTTCGCGCGATAACTAGCTTGCGAATGAAATGAGTGCGCAGTAAGTAACTAAGCGTATATCTTGTGGAGTGCAAACCGCGCCGAGAAAGAGGAAAGGGGCGTCATTGTGTACCGACCTTTTTTCCCCAATTTTTTTCAAACGGTAAAGAGACGTCACATGTGTGTCAATTCGGTCCGGTTTGGAGATAAGGGAAAGATTAGTACGATGGGAAAATTCCGGGACAGATAATGCGCGTCTTGCCTTGGACATTCCAAATTATATCGATGAGCAATTTTATATGCTAAAACGCAATCGAAGAGTGTGCAATATTCGTTTGTGATTTTTACGCGAGTATCTTTTTAAACGAGATTTTTCTACGGTCCGGCTTGCGTTAGTTTCTACGCAAAAATATATATACGCGACGTCTTTGATAATTCTTTGAATAAAAATAAAACGAAAGATTTATTTAAGCGCGAAGTTTAGGAGTCGCACACGAGATTTCAAGTAACGATTGCGCAAAGCAAGAAGCTACTCTGTGGTGCTTACATTGCGCACATTAATTCTAGCACACTCATCTTTGCGTTTAATTATGTGTGCTGTTTTTGATATACATAATTGTGCACTTATAATGGTACGCATACTTGGACGTTCGCAGAATGCACGAGCGACAATTTCTGTTCGCAACAGGTGTTTGAATTAATTTTTATCTTACGAAGCCTCGTAACTGAAACAGTCGTGCCGCAATTACGAAACCACTTTATGTATTGTAAAATAAATGCGAGTATCGCGTCATCGCGATTTTACTCGCCGCTCGACTACTGTATCTCGCATTTGATTCTATGGCTGATGGCAGAGAACAATCCGTAAACGCTTAAGACTGTCTCAGTCGTAGACGTAGGGCAAGGCAGAGAGAAACGTAAGTCTCGTATACAATAGCCTTTCACGACTTACGTTTCTCTCTGCCTTGCCCTACGTCTACGACTAAGCCAGTCTTAAGCGTTTACGGATCGTTCTCTGCTACCAGCTTATCGATCGAGTTGATGGGTAAAGCAAGGACCTTGTAGCTCGGGACCCGGAACAGGGCACATGCGGTGGAATTTTTCTAAGTGGATTCCGATCGGATTTCTTCTGTCTTTTCTAGGAAGCACGATAGAAATGTAGAAAGTAGCTGAACAATTCCGATTGAAATCCATTTCGAAAAATTCCATAATATGTACCCAAAACTGGGTAAACATCCTTTGACGTCTATTAAGGTAGAATGCCACACTGAGCACATTCATATGAGATGCGCGGAATATTTAGACCTTGATGTGCTAATTTATTGCTCTAATCCTGATTTTATTGTTCTAGCCGTTTAGCAAAAAATTACTTCTATGCTACCTTTCGGAAAAGTTAGGATGCCCATTAAAAAAAATTTAAACTAGTACATATTAAAAGCACATAATTAACACTAAATTATGGTATAAGTTTTTGTATTATTATTTTGTTAAATGGGTATTCTCTAATTTTTTTTCGAAAGATGGCATAAAAACGATTTTTTTGCTAAACGATTAGAGCAAGAAATTCAGGATTAGAGCATTACATTAGCACACAAAGAACACTAAATCTTCTGTGCATCTCATATGATTTTTCTCAGCTAGCTGGAATGCTTCATAGACGTGTTCCTTCGATGGTGGTGATGAGGGTATTTCACGTGGCCACATCGTATGTTTCAATACTTTTTCGAAACCTTAATAAATGGTCACAATTTCCTGTAAGTATAGCGTCTGCATACCGCTTTATTTTCTACCAATCGATTCCTTTGATGACGAAGGTCATAGCAAGTGCGGCCACATCATACGTTTTGGACATTGACAAATCGTCCATATTTTTAGATATTCCAACTGTATATAGATCAGTTTATGTTTCGCCTTTTGTGACCCTTTAAAATTTATAGGTCAGTAATATTAATGATGTGAAGTTTCCAAGGTTTGTTTTTTTACCTACATGAACCACAAAACTGAAAGAAAACACAAGCCGGTGAACGATTTATTTTTTAGCATTTAGAATTTCTCGGTACATTTTCGGCCACTGTTTGTTGAAAAATGAAAGCAGATTCACGTCTCCCAGCGACATGTACTAATTAGCTATAATACAGCTCTGATTGGTTTGTAATAGCTTAAAATTCTATTTACATAAGACGGTCTTAAATAAAACAACGGACTAATGAATACCAAGACTAATTATTTCGTTGTTTCTTCTTTTCGATCGTCGCTTTTTCTCTTTTGTTCCACATAGCTTATAGAGATACAGGTCATTATGCAGATTATTTTTACAAATTAAATCCATAAGTTGAACTATTTTTAAAATCCTCTTTCTCGTACTAGTAGCTATTCTTATTTGTACTCTCTAAAAGTCAATCAGTGGATTATATCACTGGAAACACTGAATATTCACTGATTCACAGTTACAAGTATAGCACTGAATAATTCAGCGTCCAGAATAATACCGTTGTCAGTGATAATGCACTGATTGACTTTTAGAGAATATATTTTCTAAATAATTTTTATCGATTAGAAATTAAAGAGGCCGTTTAGGACCGGGCATAGGTGTAAGTAGCCAGTTAAATTAAATTATTTAAGTGAATTCATATACCGTATTCTTTCCAACTTATCCTGTGCGCAATTTTTATCGACTTTTCTTTAAA